AGCGAGAGAAAAAATGCATCAATTTGGAGGAAATAAAAATTCAACAAAAAGCTCCCTCAAACGGTTTTCTGATACCAAGCCCCTCGCAAAAAATAGCTAAAATTTCAAGATACAAACTTTCGGTCTGACTACCACAATATTGAGAAAAGATCAAGAAAAGTTCTATAAAAAGTGGCTGCAAGAAGCACAAAAAACCCAAAATGCTTCGGATGTAAGTAACTTCCGGGACAGGCGGAGTATGGAAGGATTAAATCACATTTTACTTAATTTGCAAAATCAGATCGACATGATCATGGAGGTATTACAAAAACGCCTGCTTTCAATAAATTTCTTTCAAAAATGAGATACAGGGAAGAAATAAGACAAAGCAGCACGTAAAAGACAATGCCACAGATAAGATAAACATAGATAGGACGACAGGGATTTTTGACAGCGCAAAAAGACTGCGTACATAAAGAATCAAAAGAGCAGTAAACGTGAGACGCATGCGATCGCTGACACAAAATTACGATATTACGGTTTACAAAAAAGCGATACCTACTTTACGTCGCATTGAGCTAACAAAAAAGGGAAAACCTGTGGGTAGGGGGAAGGGGATTTAGTGAAAGGACCGGAGAATCATCGGAGGAAGATGGTAGCCCCGCGCCTTGAACTGGTCAGACCCCCTGCGATCGATCAATAGCCGGGCGAAACACGCAGATTAGCGCTCTCCAAGTAGACGCGCACGAAACAACGCCCGCCCTTCACACACTACACACATATCGTCGAAGAGAAGGGCTTACGGGGCCCCGTGAATTCAGCAAAGCTCGGAATTAGACGAAGACCTGCTTTGTCGCGGGATTTTGAGCCCATGAATGAGGTGGAACTATAAATGGACTGTAAACAGCAGCACTCATCTTTTCGGGGACGACTTACGATGGTACAAATTTCTTTCGACTGGAAAACAAATGAATGGTTTTTACACTGTGGTAGATGGAGGTGATTTATAGTGTGACTTATTGGCAAGAAAACTGCGCTGCTACAATCCCACGGTTTTCACTTTTTTAATGATAGCCGGTTATTCCGCTGATAAAAATTACAACCAGCAATCTCTTGCAAAACTTGCAGAAAATGAATTGACTTCCAATTCATCATTTACCGGAAGGATAATGAAGAAATCTGACAAGTAATTCCCACCATTAACATGGGACGCATGGTATTTGGCCAACGTCTATCGGCCGAAGAATAAGGTGCTCCAAACGAACAGAAACCTGACCTTGTTAAAAGACTTCATTTTTAAGGGATTTTCTTCAGACAATATCAAGAAGGGATTATGAGGTTTTTAATCAAGATTTCAGCATCTCTACTATCTCTAGAAACTCCAGATCGCTTTTATTTGCCTGTGATGATCTTATGAACGAGCATTCGAGAATTGACTAACTGTGAAGGATCGTCACTGGAATACAAGCAATAACAACGATTTTGATCATGTGCCTCTTATGACGTCAATGCAAATGTCTTATCTTCATGGCAGCTATATCGGAAAAAAGTCACGAGAGCATTCCAATGACGCCGCAATTACTTTATATCAACAGTGAGACCGTTTCGCGGAAAACACATCTGCTTGTATGGTGAAGAATGAGAAGAATCACTAAAAACTCAAGTCAAATCAAATTTAATTACAATTCTCAACTCCTGAGAGAGTAATCAGGGCCAGCCGTCAAAAATATGGTGTTATAGGAAGCAGTCATGTGATCCTTCGAGTTCATGGAGAAACAAGAAAAATAGATAGTGTACCCTCTCCCTCCACTACGACTTATTGTTTCTTCTTGCTCAGTTCAGGACAGATTCTAGTACAAGAGCCACTTGACATTTCCTTGACATTTCGGGGTGACAAAAGAAAATTCTTCTCATCGAAAGAGATTTCCTGTTTGCAAGTTTCAAATCATTTAGCTGAAATACGCTATCACTCAATGGAAAAACTAAAACTTGCATATTAAATTGCACTAGCAAAGCGGAACAGGATGGCAAGTATAAATTGCTATTGCAAAAGCAGGAGATTTTAATGTGCGAGATATTCGGCAACGGAAAGGAGAGATTTAAGTGCTCATAGTGTTTTTGTCAATGAGACGCCGATTCAGTATGCAAAATGCTTGGTCTGAAATCGTACATAATACTGCAGGTTGATTTTATCACTACCACTTGGCGTTTTGTTGACAAAAACACTACAAACATTTATATTTTTCTCTTTTGATGCCGATTCATCATGCACAGTAAAATCTGCTGTTTTTGCGTTAACAGTTATACTTACCATCACGGTTCGCGTTGCTAGTGCAATTTCGAACACAATTAGTGAAACTTCCCAAAGCATGCGCCAATTCACGCATACGCATTTGATAAATGTTTGAAGTAAAAATTGTTCGATAATGTGCTAATGCATTGTAAGCGAACCCCACAACGTCGTTTCCAAAAGATAAATGTGGCAATAATTTTGTGCTTCAGCGAAAATAGTGTCTGATACTATGTGTATACTTCTACAGTCGAATCACTTCATATGTTCCTTTGCGTTATCGCACACACTTCCACCTTTGGCGTTCCTATCATGGATTCTTGGAGCATACACTTCGGGATCGCCCATACTATTCCTGCTATTCCTGCGATTCCTGCGAGTCCCGCACAGTTTATACGCCGCTTAAATGAGCGCGTGTTGCGTGTTACGTGTTGTTTTACGCAACACGCGCTCAATTAAGCGGCGTCTAAACTGTGCGGGACTCACAGGAATCGCAGGAATCGCAGGAGTCGTAGGAATAGCAGGAATAGTATGGCCGATCCCTTCAGGTATAGGGCATTCAAAAAATTGTGACGATGGCACGATCGCGCGCGAAACGCACGCCACTCCGGAAAATTTTCTTAGTTTCCACCTCTAGTCGGATGGTTTTTTGCTTACGTATGATGAGATTTAGACACAGGAAGCGACTGAGCTGAACGTTGAGGTAATTCTTTCTTGTATGAGCGTTTTATGCTCGTGTGGGTGCAAAGTCCGCAGTAAAATCCGTCGTCACGATTTTATAAATGAACTATAAGTGTTTTCGATGTTCTTAGATTTTCTTTCCTTCTTAGGTACCAGACTTCTCAAAATGATGTACAGGGGTTTTCAATCTTAGTGTCATGGTCGGTGTGGTTCACCCATTCGAGAGCCGCCGCGCTTGGGTCTCTCACGTGGTACACTACCGCAACCGATAACGCGAAGGCCTTGGCGGATGCGACATTGTGCCACGTGAGAGACTCATGCGAAGCGGCTCGCGAGGACTTGAGCCACGTCAACCGTGACACTCAGATTGAAAGCCCCTGTAGACAATAACAATCGGTAAGTTTTTGCGTTTTTGCAACCGCAAATCCAGGAAGGAGACGCCAAAGATGGACGACGTGTGTAATGCACACATGATCATATGGATCTTGTAAAAACGCAGTGCTAGGGATGAACATGGTCCGACAAAGACGGGATGGTCAAAATTCTGAGAGACAAGTAAAACATTCTGATATCTTGGGAACCCAAAACAAAAATATTGCTTTGCTCTGTGTAATCGCTCTCGCTAACTAGACGCTGTAAGCGGTCAAGGTCAGTCATAGTGTAAAGTTATATCATGGCTTGCTTCACTCCGCTAATTTAATCAAACACGATGGAAAGGAGAAGACAGCAAGCAACGATCAGGATCAACGCCAAATGCGTACATAACCGCATGAAAGCGAACACCTTTACAACCGCCCGAAGCTGCGCGATGATTTCAATACAAAAAGTGCAGAGATATATCAGCCGATGAAAGGGAAATGAAAGGACACCAGCTCAAGAACTGTCAGATGAACGGATCATGAATTACGAACTCGTTCCACTGGAACGATGAAAGTCAGTGATGGATCGTATCGTTAAATCCGAAACGCGAAGAAGAGAAAAGGATAATCACAAACTCGCGGATGGTGTACGACGGAAAAACACGATTGAAAACGAAAAACACGAAAGATTATCACAGGAAGTAGAGATTGAATGAGAAAATGCAAATGTATATGAGAGAGCTTCGGCACAACATTCCCACTGTGAAAGTTAAGGGCAATTTCTGGTGGAATAAAGCCATAAAATAAGTGAAATAGTAGCAAACATTTGAAAAAGCTCTTAATCATAACTATGGTATCAGAAAGTGATCTGTTGTGTGCTAGCTATCAATGTTGATAAGCAACTGAAGAGCTTTTCAATAGGAAAGTCAGACTTACACTCAAGCCACGACCTAAGATTGCACGGAGTCAAACACGACCTTCTAGTAAAGGTCAGGTTTAGGAGGTGTAAACACCGCTATTATATCTGCAGGTGCAAGACATGTTTTAAATGAAACAAATTTGACTAAGAACATAAAGCAAAACCAAAAATTACGCCCTTAAATTTATAGAAAATCAAATGTCCACGTGACTGAGATCGAGTTGCTATGAAGCAGTGAACACTACGAAAGAAAACATACAAATTATGCAACAAAAGATGGTCCATTTCAGAACACATGCTATGAAAAAAGCGTGCAGCAGTATGAACCTAAGATTTGTTGTTTTTTGCAGACTGCAATTAGTTCGATTTCTGCTGCTGGTTGAAGGACGACAGAGGCGGCAAGCAACGGCTCCCGGAACGATCGCTCAAAAATTCTACAGAATTCCCCGATTGTCGCATTTAGCATAAATTTTGGGGGGTAACTCGCATTTTTATGTTAAAAGTATAGTTTAGATTGAAAATTGAAGGTTTTATTGTGATTGATAGAACTGGGGCTTAGCTGCTCCGTTGTGAACTTCTTCAGCAACTCGAATTCCTCATCTTGGGGCCCTCTGATTCTTCTTTGTATCCCACGCAGTTTTCAGCAGGATTTTTTCCCATTCACGATCTGTTTGATGACTTGGATGTTCTTTTTCCGGCTGTCACACACAGTAGCGTCTTGATTGCAGGACTTTACTTTCAGTTTGTTGCTTCCAACTCGGACGGGGTCAACATGGTGGTTGAACAAATGCAATTGAAAGGCACCCTTGAGGGCCACAACGGTTGGGTTACCCAGATCGCTACATTTACCCGCAATGATAAGACCACAGTCATCTCTTCATCTCGCGGTGAGCTTTCCTTATTTCTTTCTTTGGAGCTTCCGACATTATATTCTGCTTTCACTTGCCTTGCAAAAATTTTCTTTGACTTTAAGATCGCTCCATCATCCTTTGGGATGTGGACAACATTGCCACCGAAGGAGAGTCGATTGGACGTCCCGTAAAAGCCTTGACCGGACACAATCACTTCGTGTCTGACGTCGCCATCTCTTCAGATGGACAGTTCGCCCTTTCCGGATCTTGGGATAAGACCTTGCGACTGTGGGACTTGACAACGTGGGTTTTTGTTTACTTCATTTCTCGGTTCCGTTTTTGTTTTCCAATTTGCTTTTTTTCTATTTTTTGATGATATTCTCTCCCATTAACGTTCCCTTTTTTACTGCTGAGAATTTTTATTTTTGAGTTTTCGTTCATTACATGGGAGTTATAAGGAGTGGGGCCCCGGCCAGACCTCGCCCGAAAGCGCCTAAATCTCTCTAATGTTCTTCATTTTTTCGTGCAAAGAGAGATAACCTAGCAGTTCTGTTTGAGCTGTAAAAAGAGGAATTATGAGTGATATGTTGTTTGCCCTTGAGTTCCAAATTTTGATTCACGCCTGAATGCGTTTCGTCTTGGCTACTAAAGTCTTAAAGATAATGTCCGGTGGCTAGACTAGCATGCTTAGCTGACTCTTGAAAAGAACAGAAAACGTAATGAAAAGCGTCATTAGCTGTTTTTGTGTGGACATAGATTAGTCGGGTTCATTGAGAGTTTTCTCAGGCTTTTTAAAAGCACCACCCATCCAAACTGAGGGTAATGAGATTTTGATTTCATATAATGAAGAGGCCCCTAACTAAGCTATCACTTAAGTCTCGCTGCAAAAGTTGAATTCCGAAGCGAGAAAACCGCTTCATAGGGTAGAAGCGCCATGTTGGCTCCGCCTGTCAACGTGGGTGGCCTGAAGGAACATTTCAAAATCGGGTTTTAGGGTAGAGAGAAATGTCGAAAATCTGATAATAACTTCAATAAAGGGGGGGGGGGTTATGCCAACTTTAGATACATTAAAACCCGGTTTTGGGCTTTTCATCTTCAGACCACATACTTTGATGGGCGAAGCCAATATGGATCTTCCACCCTCTGGAGCGGTTTTCTCGCTTCGGGCCATCTTTTGCAGGGAGACTTGGACGAAGCTTAGTTAGAGCCTGGGCCTCTTTTATATGTCTTTATAATCTTATAACCCTTAATCTGAGTAACGGTGCCTTTAAAGGGAGTGTCCCGGCAGATTTTGCACCTCCACCTTTTTGCATGTTTTAGGCCTTTTCGCCACGTAGAATCCGAATTTGAGCTTTGAACGGGCTGAAAAGGCCGATTTTGGGGCGTTTTCCCAATTCCAGAAAAGCAGCTTGGACGAGATTTTTAATGGAAAGTTGGGGGAGGTCCTCAGACGAAGATCCTGCCGCCTGTATTTCTTGCTTTGGATAGCATGCATCATGGGGAGAGCGCTCGTGGGGTCCCGCGCCGAACAGGCGGGGAAGGCCGTCAAAGCGCGCGCCAGTTGGGGTTGCGCGCGCCGGTTCAAGGGCCATTTTCTCGGCCCAGGGGGAACATCACCCAGCCGGAGTGCGCCTGGAGGCGATGGGGTGACCAGGAACCCCACCACACGTATATCCCCCAGGACCCGAATCTGCCGGGACACTGCCTTTAATGTCCTTGTAATCGTTCGACTGAGGGTCTTTTTTTCATGTCTAAGGGACCCGTCATACTTCGCCGAGAAAAGCCCATAAAAGCTGGGAAAAGCCCAGAGAAGCCGGAAAAGCCCGAAAGAGCCGGAACGCAGAATCGAACTTTTGGTAGAATTCTGACATTATTTTGATGTGCAGACGACAGAAAATGAAGCAAAAAGACTCGGTTGTAAAATCAACACACATGCCTTACTTAGCGTCAAAACGGAAGGGGCGTTTCGGCTCTTTCGGGCTTCGTTGGGCTTTTTCGGCGAAAGATGACGGGTCCTTAAGCGTAATCGTCGTAGAACTTGTAGAATTGTTGTTTGGTTCGTCGCCCTGAGCGAGGCATTGCACTTGAATTCCGGTAGGGCTGAATATGTGGGTTTTCAGGATTTCCGCGAATCACCGTGATTGTCGAGACTTCGACTTGGGTGGGGAAAACCCACTGATTGTCCTTCCTTCGCAGACCTGATAACTCGTGGCACCCTGCTACTCAACATTTAGGACTTTAGCTGCATCACTTAGCAAATCTCTCAATTATTCACTGCAAATGCGTATCGTTTTCAGCAGTTGGTAATGGGTACAGCATGTAGCTATGACGCGGCTGCTCAAAGTCAAAACAACGGTGTTTTTTCTTATCCCATACAATAATTAAGCGACAACTATTGCCTCGAAATTGCACGACACTGCCAACAGTAACTATAATTACGTAGCAAGCCAATATCACATCCATCCGCAGTGCTTTTTTGCGCCTTCCCCGGCTTAGATCACAGCCTTTTCAAAATTGTCTTAATAGATAGGAGAGTCGCAGTGGTATGCAGGTAAACAATTCATTTGCGTTTCTGTCGTTTCTGAGGCATTGTCCAGGTCGATCATTGACTTTTATGTTTTGGTCATTTCCAGACTTTTCATGACCCTGAAAGGGTCTGAAAACATGAAATTTGATGGCTAAATTAGTCACACACTTCGCATAAACTGCAATTTTTCAGCGGTCAATCTACTCGCCAGTTCTCGTCACACACCAAGGATGTGCTCTCGGTTGCTTTCTCTGCTGACAACCGACAGATCGTCTCTGGATCACGTGACCGTTCCATTAAGCTGTGGAATACCCTTGCTCAATGCAAATACACCATCACTGTAAGTTTACAAAAACATTATCCTTTGCTCACAATTATTAGAAGTTTCTGTAATTAAAACGTTTATGCTTTTATCATCGCCGCTATCCGAATCAAATTCTGGTCACTGTTTCAAGAATCATGATTACATCTGTTTGTACTTCGGTTCTAGTTATCGACTTCCCCGGTTCCTTTTTTTGTAGGTACAGTAGATAAAAGCAAGAGTCAACCTTCGCTGAATTCACAAATGTCGATCATTTACTCGGTTGCGGACGACTGAAACGTGGTCGCATTTTCTCCTTCAGCACCATTTTCCCCTATATTATTTAGCTCATTATCATGACTGTGAAATTCATACCTTATTTTTAATAGGAATTCACATAATTGTTTTCAGGAGGATTGTCATACTGATTGGGTATCCACCGTCAGATTCTCACCATCCACTCGTGACCCAGTGATTGTCTCCGCTGGTTGGGATAAGATCGTCAAGGTCTGGAACCTTGGTAACTGCCGCTTGAAGACCAATCACATTGGTCACACTGGCTACGTCAGCACTGTGACCGTCTCCCCAGACGGCTCACTATGTGCATCCGGTGGCAAGGACGGACAAGCTATGCTTTGGGATCTTAATGAGGGCAAGCACTTGTACACTCTCAATGGAAACGATGTTATTCACGCTATGGCCTTCTCACCGAACCGATACTGGTTGTGTGCTGCTGTTGGGCCTGTTATCAAGATCTGGGATTTGGAGGACAAGCGCGAGATCGAGGAACTCAAGCCTGAGATCACTGGAAAGAGCTCCACCGCCCCTCAATGCGTGTCGTTGGCCTGGTCGCAAGACGGACAGACCCTCTATGCTGGATACACCGACAATGTTATCCGTGTCTGGCAGGTGTCTGTGCGTACAAATTAAATTGTTTGTTACTGTTAATGTTTATGTGCACAGATAAAATTGTTGATATGCATGAGCGTGACATGTATTTTTATGGCTCTCCACTGCTTTTTTTTTCTGGTATTAGTGCTGAATTACGATTTAGTTCGTGTGGCTTCTGAAACAATTTGTTTATTGGGAGATAAACACAGGCTGTGGTGGTGGTTTGAAATTATGATTGAGCGGTTGTTTTCTAGAAGATCCTTTTTTGTAGGGTGAGAAATTGGAGACTTGTTGAATATGTATGTTAAATAGTACTAGATGTAAGGGAATAAAATTCAATCAACACTTTTCGGCATGGTCATTATAGAGGGGAGACGGTCAAGAGGCGCGATTTCTCTGGCTGTCACCAACTTAAAACTTCAGTTTAGTGCTGTGCGAGTCTTTGAAAATTACCGGATAAAGTGCATTAGCTTACTCTCCATCTGAGGTCACCACTTGGTGACTTTCATGGTTTTTGCTATAAATCGGACTGAGATACTTATAAATTTGTTCTGAAATGCATTTTCATAAGTTTTTGACCTTCAAAATGGCTGTTTTGAATTTCTTCTAGAGTATCAAGATTGGACAACTCATGCAACTACCTAATATATCTTTTTCTAGATTTCCTATACTTTTAGAAAGTTGCAGAACACTTATTATGTGCTATTTGGTGTCCAGCTGGCAATAAAAATCGCGCCTCTTGACATACACCCATTATAGAGGTGTTTCTGAAATCCAGAGCTTTTGATCGGGTGAGGGTCAATGATTATTCGAAAATCTAGCTGAGCTCACTTACATAGAGAAAATATGGATTCATGAGTATGGACAAAAATGACGTTTTTGCTACATGGTTCACATTTTTATGATAACGACGCCTGACATCGGGGGTTTTTAGAAACATGAATATTTCTATTAAAAGATCTCCTTCTATATGTGTCTCATCGGTAGTCTTCCGGCTTGTAATCTTACAAACTCTACAGTAGAATAGTGAAGCGCGAGAATAGAATAGCGAGAAGATTAATGTTGTTTCCACGGTCCATTCTTTGGTTGTTAGTTGTTCTTGACTGCGAATCAATACTGATGCAATCTTTTAAGTGTCAATCACCACTAACGTGGCTGCCTAGCGTTGTTTATTTGCTTCTGATGCGTGCGTTTTTATATGCACTGTCGAGAATTTGCATACATCCCAAGTTCGTCGCAGATTGTGTTCTGATTCAGTTGGATGTCAGACCGTGCTGAGGTGATTTCTTTATGTATTCGATTAGCAGCTGCAGCAGCTCTATCATTCTTCACGGTCCGTTATATGGTGAAGTTTCTTGATCCAAATTACGCTACCAAGGAGGAGGCGAAGAAACGGGTAAGTATCATGCACAGACACCAGATCAGTCCTTGTTATCTTATACAGCTACTATAGTCACATTTTTAAGCTGAAAGTTCTTTGTTTCCTGCTGACAAGCGGAGGCATCTAGCTCAGTCTGGTTCTTTGAAAAGCGTAGCGTTGTTTTGAAGAGAGTTCCGAGCTTGCTATTATGTGTGGTTGACGTCCTTCTATGCGTCAGACATACCACTGTGAGATAGTTTATAGATGAGAATGTGCTCAAAAACAGTGTTTGAAATAACATCAGTTAACTTTCTTGAAGTTGATAAGGAGCATATGCAACTACCACCTAGATGTTATCGTAACATAAAGGCGAATCAGAGCACGCAAAGACTGCGGACATATCGGTGTCTCCGTGATCGAGCGCTCTTTCGTTGCTCTTACAATCTGCCGTCTCTCCTACGCCCAAAATATCTTGGCTGGGAGCAACGGCGCCCAGTCTTTACGTGTCACGAATCGGCAATAGTCAATAACGTGAGATTTTTTTTTACAGAAGAAAATCCCACAGTTTTCTTGGGAATAACGCTTCGCAGCTATAGCATGTCTGAACTCGGCTTCCAAGCTGATTCCTAGTATATTGCTGCTTTTGAAAAAGCCAGACTGGGTTAGGTGCTTTTCCTTGTCAGCGGTCCAGTTTCGCTTTTGGTTAGATAATAACTATGTGAGCATATACCACACGACTACTCAACTATCATCTCTCTGACTCTTCAGGTATTTGAAACATCGAAGAACAATGGGAAAAGGCTTTGAAAATCTCTTACATCTAATCTCTTGATAATTCAGCGCTTTTTTTTTGAGAGCAACAATTTTGGCACAGGCACATCAAAAATCAAAACGCATGAAATATATTCATACATGTGACAATCACCCTGAGCCGACTTCTTTTCTCTAGTGGTTTGGTCCCTTGAGTGTCCACATTCATACGTTGTATTACTTTTGCGGAATTTCCTTATTTATAGGTGGCTCAACTGTTCCGTGAACTGGGCTTGAGCGAACGTATCGAGTTGAATGATTATGAGATGCGAATAGCTACTCAGTTCATCAGTGGAGAGGATGTTGGTGCTGAGTGGAGCGACGTTGGTATGATAGTTTGAATGTTTGCAAACTTGCTTAATCAAAGATGCATTCAAGGTGGTTGTGATGAGCTCATTGCTGATCTTAAAGATAGGATAATTCTACCTTTGCAAATAGCTGCTCAAGCAGATAGCTCACTGTTATGCCCTCCAAAAGGTATGCATTTTTAGCGTTCGCTAAAATCCTTTAGTTTTGTAAGGCTCCCGCCAGAGTGCCGAAGTTATGCCAGCGCTACGCCAGCATTTCGATCGATACACGTGTATTTCGTTGGGGCGGGGCTAGCTCAGCAGGTAGATGTCCCCAACGAAATATACGTGTATCGATCGAAATGCTGGCGTAGCGCTGGCATAACTTCGGCACTCTGGCGGGAGCCTAAGCATCTGGGTCTTTTTTTTTCAGGGATTTTGCTATATGGTCCACCAGGCTGTGGTAAAACATTGCTAGCAAAAGCCGTGGCTCGAGCTGCTGGATGCAGGTTTTTTTATCTGCTAAGTCTTCGTCCTCATTCTATTTACTTCAGATTTATAAATCTGCAAGTGTCAAATCTTACTGACAAATGGTATGGAGAGTCACAAAAGCTGGCGGCTGCCGTATTTTCCGTGGCACAGAAGTTCCAGCCTACAATCATATTCATTGATGAAATAGGTAAGAGGCTAATGATAAAGTAATATGAATGTCAAAGATAAATGACATCTATCATGTTCCGTCTGACACTTTTGTAATAATCATATCTTATGATATAACGTCATCAGGATGATGTTGCATTCCTTATTTGTTATAGTTCTCAGATTAACTTTTTATAACGCACCAGTTCTACCGACGGCAGTTATCTTTCTTGAGGTTCTTAACCTGCTCATCCAGATTTGGTCGCGGTTTTGTTGCAGTTTAGTTCACTGAGTCACAGTTTGTTGAGTGAGGATTGCATGCTGCATGTGTAAATATGATTGAAAAATCATATCCTTTGTTCAAGTGGGAAGGGTGGAAGGCGGAGCTTCATTTGCTAACTTAGCCTAGAAAAAGTTGGAGAGCGCGCTCGTGAGGAGATCTAGAGCCCAGAGCCCCACTCACCTCCCGTCACTTTCAGTCAAACAGAGGGTATATCCCTGGATGGGCTAGATGAAGCTCAGAAATTCTTGTATTTATTTTCCAAAGATCGATAATAACCTATGGTACTTTATGTATTTCTTGCAGATTCATTTCTACGTGATCGTCAAGCAAACGATCATGAGGCTACCGCGATGATGAAGGCTCAGTTCATGTCGTTATGGGATGGATTCTGCAGCACGAATGATCAGGTATGTTTGAATTCAGCTTGTGTTTTCGTTGCGATCACAGTTTCCACTTCAAGACCGCTAATAAACACAGTATCATTAGGTTGGCACATAAGTAATGCAACTTTTTATATAACTCTTGTCTCTTTGAACGTAGCACATTCATTTTTTGACAATATAAAGACTATGATGTAAGCTTCTAATGCTCACATTTTTGCCGAATTTTACCTTGTTATGTAAGGATTACGGTAGGTTTACGATACTATGGGAAAATTTTTAGAATGCATCAGATTTTGCTGAAAATTGACCTATAGGGCTTATTCGACATGCTGATCACAAAAATGAGATCCGTTCCGCACGAAAAGGCCTCGTTCGTGAGATCAAAAAATGAATTTCATTTTAACGACAAATGAATATGATATTCGTGTTCACCGTATAGGATTACCCTACAGTGCAAAGTTATAGCAAATTCTGACTTTTCGCAGCTTAGTTATTGACAAATTGCCTTCAAAACTTGACGCATTTGACTTGTTCAACTTCTCAAAGGCGCCTCACCTTAATTTGTGTTTAAATTTCATTTCTTTTTCACTGATTCCAATGTGCCAACTTCCAGCTACATGCTGCCTATAATTGCTTTTTCATATGTTTGAATCAGGTTTCGTAGGGTTTCATGTTTGCCAAAAAATCGTGAAATCTCGATTTTCAGCAGTTTTCAAAAAATGCTTAGATTTTTTGTACTACGTTATCAAAAATCAAACGGTTTGCGCAGGCTTGCAGCTTACATCACGGTTTACATGATATCACAATATGAGGTTGCTACTTAAAATAAGAAAAAAGTTACGCGAAAAGTTGCAAAACTTATGTGCCAACCTAATATGTCTTCGTCATCAGATCATTGTTATGGGTGCTACTAATCGACCTCAAGATGTGGACCCGGCAATCTTGAGACGTATGTCAGCACGCTTCCCCGTTCCCGTTCCTTCCGAGAAGCAGAGAGCCCAAATTCTCAATGTAAATGGCAAACATACAATTAACTGCCTGCAAGTTCTACTCTGATTCTAGGTTATACTTCGTGAAGAACGTCTAGGCAACGATGTTGATTTGGATAAAATCGCAGCCATGGCAGTTGGATTGTCTGGTTCTGATTTGAAAGAGGTTTGCACCGCATTATGATTTCGTTAAGCCTTTATCCTTGTCTTCCAGGTGTGTCGCATCGCCGTACTATCGAGAGCCAAGGCTACATTAGCCGAGCATGGCGATTTGCGGAATCGTCAAGCTATTCACTCAGAAGACTTAGAATTAGCTCTTATGAAATATATGCGTGCCTACCAACACATGACTGATCAAACACTCGATTGATTTTAGGCAGATCTCATTGCCATTAGGATTAGCCATTTTCTAGTTTTTAATAATCTGATTCTAGAGCATTTTAATTTCATATGAAGTAGGACGTTTTTGTCCGTTCTAGTCGTGTCCAAATAATGCACTATTGTGCTACGGGCTGTAAATTCCAACAAAGATTAAAAATCCAGCTGCTGCTTTTGCCGTATTTCAGCCGAAGAGTTTCAAGTTGAGAGAGGAGTTATATTGTTAAACAATTAATTGAGCTCAATCACCTACGTACCATGTATGATTACGCTGTTGTGAATTCTAGCAATAAAGACTTTATGCAAAAATTGGAGTGGAACTTTTTGAAGTGAAGCGATTATCCATCTCTTGATAACTCGTTGACGCTTTTCGTTGCACAGGGTAGACAGCATGATCAACGTCGAAAAGCTACGAAGCATTCTTATTGTTAGAAGTCTTGAGAGGGTTTAATTCCTGAAACTGCACGCACAGAAGTTCGAAATCATTAGTACAAAAGTAAAAACTTGTCAAAAAACTAGCTTGAAGAAGGTGTCCGGGAAAGGTTTGATTTCCGGACAGATCGTATGCGTCTTTAACATCTCTAATGGTGGTGTCTTTGGTCAGTTCATAATTTAGGGGGATGCAAGGACGAGCAAAACAGGTTTCTGTGGTCGCGCATTATCAGCTATCTTAGGCTTTCCTCTAACATAAAATTTGGAAACGCTGCCTTCTGGAAATCGCCTGTGTCATATTCGGTTCCAACGTCGAATTGAAGGCAGTGTCTCGGCAGAATTTCGTTTCCCAGTACTTCACCTTTTCGGAGCCTTCTCGCCATGAGGAATCCATTTTTGGGCTACTCAGCGCATGAAAATGGCGGGAATGTGTTTCCGAAGCTTTCCGAGTCCGCATTCAGTGAAGATACGCCGGAAAAAAAAACCGCGCGACGCCTTGCTCGTTCTGAACTCTGCCCACTTCCCCACTGAATGCGGACCTGGAACTTGGGAAATAGCTCATTTTTTCTATTTTCATGCGTTAAAAGCAAAGATATGGGCCTCATGGCGAGAAGGCTCCAAAAAGGTGAAGATCTGAAATAACGAAATTTTGCCGAAACGCTGCCTTTATGGGCTGAGTATAGAGATAGTAGGAATGATGCGCAAGCTGTCTGTAAACAGAGCGCTTCAAGAAAATTTTTTTTCAACGGAACTGTTTCGGTTGATGGCCTCCCGCCATTCATAGTGATGATGTAATGTTCATAAGTAACCTCGCTTATAGGTAGTCAGAAAAGTCGCCGAATTTCGTCACATTTCACCGAAATCGGTACTATTCCAGTATACCGACCCCAAAAACTAAAAATCTCGGATTTCGCTCAAACTTGGTATAGGGGGGCTATTCGATCCGCTGATGCCGAATATCATATCGATTCCGTGCGATAGCGCCATTTTTCGGGGGTTACGGTGGGTATACGGTAGGAGGTCAAAATCACAAAATTCTCTGAAACTTGGTGCAGAGGGGTTATTTGACATGCTGAACACGAATATGATATCCATTCGTTACGGTAGCACCTCATTCCGGGGTTACGGTGGGTATACTGTAGGAGGGTCTAATTCACTGCTTTCCACACCCACCGCCGCGCGCGATACACCCTGCGGCGGCTTTTGCCTAAGCAAAGCAGGGGGAGGAAATTTCCGACATGTGACTGAGATTTCAAGCCCTGAATCTCGATCTAGCGATGGTATTGGTAATGTATACCCAACGTAACGTCGGAATGAGGCACTATCGTAACTAATAAACATCATAATAGTGATCAGCATGTCAAATAACCCTCCTACACGAAGTTTCAGCGGATATCGTGATTTTGACCCCTTACCGTATAACCACCATAACCCCGGAATGAGGAGCTACCGTAACGAATGAATATCGTATTCGTGTTCAGCATGTCGGATAACACCCTCTTACCGAGTTTCAGAGAATTTTGTGGTTTTGACCCCCTACCGTATACCCACCGTAACCCCCGGAAAATGGCGCTATCGCACGGAATCGATATGATATTCGGCATCAGCGGGTCGAATAACCCCCCTATACCGAATTTGAGCGAAATCCGAGATTTTTAATTTTTGGGGTCGGTATACTGGAATAGCCCCGAAATCCGCGTTGCATTGCCATAATCTGGCAAAATGGACAAATTCTGACTAGGCCATCTTTTACTCTGCTGCAAGGCGCATCTTCTGAATGTCTAGAAGTCTTGTATGGATGTTTGACAGAGGGTGCTCAGATTTCATAAATTTGGCAGGAGGTTACTCAGTATCCAATCCAAAGAAACACACTGATGACCTACAGCAAGTAGAAATCCAAATAAAGCAAATTGAAAAAATTTGTGATGTCCGACAGCATACCTGCATCTACCGCATCCAGTCGGGCATCTGTATCTATCAGAAATTGCCTCGCCAAGCCCTCAACCCTTGGGATGGTAATTGTACAAGATATGTACATCATAAGACGCGTCTCTAAACGCTGTTCCAATTCTGCTTTTCACTTTTGCGAAACAACTCTCCAAAAGAAGTTTTGAGCGTCCGAACGTCCAAGTTTTCAAGCATTTTGTGGCCTAAGGTGGGCGAAAACTCTAAAAAGCACCTTTGCGGATTTCCACCGGTATTGTTCCTTCCCTGTATACATCATACTCTATACAAAATTGATTGCCCACTTTTAAATGTTTTTAAAGCTTTTCGCCAATTGTGCGCCACTTCAAGCTTGACAGATTTGACCACTAGAACGCTCCTAAGTTGTTTCGGAAAGTTGCTCCGCAGAAAAGAAAAGTAGATTTGGAATCAGCATTTAAAGACGCTTCTAATGATATACATCTATACATCCTGTCTCCAATCGCCAGCTTATGTTGGAATCCTTCCCTTACGAACAAATAACCTGTTCCTACCTGCATATAAACAAAATAATATCACGCATTCTGCAAAAATCTGAATCAATCTGCGAAATTTTTTCTGGTGATGGCGATGGTAAACTCCCTTTTTTCGAAAATTCATTCACAAATGTGCCAAAAACATTTTGAATTCTTTCGTAGGATGTGACTCCAAGCGCGTTCCATTGTTCAGCGTTCTATCGCTATTATAGACAGTCAAAAACATTTGTGATCAATCTTTTTCTGCTTGAGGTATGTGGGATGAGATGGCCCACTTCTCAGTAGGCAAGAAATAACCCACCCAATTTAACTTTCAACAAGAATCAATTTATGTTATAGAAAACTATATCATTCTGAGACTAGGAGATTCGAGTAGCTCTGCAGACATTATTCAAACAAGATGAATCTGTAGTTAGGAAGTTGACACTTGTGATTTATCTCATCTTGTAGAATTATTCATTACGAACCGGGAAGAACATGTTCAGTTTGTTTAGACATCGTGTGCAAAGCGCTTTCGAATCTTCCAGTCTCACATAGGCCATGTGCGGGAGAATACATACTATTATCGGCTTCCAGATTCGTGTGAAGGCGGGTTCCGGACTTCCCTGATTTTCAAGATAAACTTGTCAAACCTCCACTTTAAAGCATTGTATTTTGTACTTTCTCATTGAGCTTATTTTTGAAATCAAGGAAGTCCGCAACCCGCCTCCGCACGAATCTGGGGGCCGATCATAACTATTTTATATTAGGACTTAAATTTTTCCTCCTCGACCGAGCCCCATTTTTGGCATACAAGCAAGAAACAAAGGGCTATCGATTAGCATGTTTTTAACCTTTACAAACAGTGGTTACAGTGGATATAAAGACAATCTTGTGACAGCATTTTAACCTTCATTTCTTTCGTTTTCTCTCAGAAATTTCCTCTCTTCCCTTTTGCGCTTTTGGATTTCTGGGTGCATCAGAGAATACCCATTTTATCAAAGTTTTCCGGGAGTTTAAGCTGCTCAATAATGCAAGCTGAACTCGCCAAGAAACATTCGAGGATTTTCAAAAAATTCAAAAATTGTTTTTTCATGCGTGACGTGTATATATCGAAAAGCTACAACCCTCCATGTAATATGGAGGCGAGCAAAAATCTTTTGAGAAATTTACAAAGCTTTTTTCCTTCAAATAAACAAAAGTTATATCACGAGATAACATTGTAGATTGATCGCTCGAGTAAGTTGCTTTCTCAAGTGTGCGGGTTAAATATTGTATAGAAACAATGGCGCCAATGAAAGCAAGGACTAGAAGACATTTGGAGAGTGAGGTGATTTGATTTGATGCAATGAAAGTCTTTACCTATGAAACTCAAGCCTTAGGTCATCGGAGAGGACGAAGAAAATCGTTTGACGAGAGCACTGTTTGGCATCGACTATAGTCATTCCAACAAAGCTGAAATGGACTGTGACAAGCGCGACATCTCTGCAGTTGAAGTGACTCTATCTCATTTCCTTCCACGAAGCTGACAAAATAAAAATCCTAGAGAGCGCAGAAATGTGTCTGGCATGATAGTGATGACGATGACTGCACTGATGGAAATTTTCAAGATTTGAAACAGAATCTTGTTTCTCCTCCAAAAAAGAACGTTCATTCCATCCATTCGAAGCGAGGCCAGGGAAGCTTCTTGTCCCCATTTGACCAGAGATCACATCTGTGGCTTTTAGAAATACCAAAATCATCTTCGGAAGATGTTTGAGCGATTTTACGGCTACGGTACGCCGAAATGGGCAAGGCATACTTCAGGTATTCTTTCGCCTCTACTTTTTCTGCTCATTCAACAATCACTGATCTTTGTTCAGCTGAAAAGCAATCAAAGGAGGGCAACGAATTGGAAGTTGAATTTGACGAAACAGTGAGCAAGCTGACTGGAAGCACCCAAAGATACTTGGATATGGACTGGCTTCTTGTGAAGGGAATTATTGCATATACTCGTTGTCCAGACGTCACTCTTGGCCATCATGACAATGTAGGTCACACGGTCTGTAGCTGCCTAGAAAACATGTAATATTAATTCCTTTTTATTTAAGTCAAGTGATTGAAACCGCGGAACCATATAAGCTCCAGTTCAAACTACTCATTATATGGACATGGCTCTATACAGCGAAATCGGGCTTTCGGAGTTTCTAGCAAAAGCTGACTAATCTTACTTTACGGGACCTGAGCCAATAAAAAATTGCGAATCTCCCACTCATATTTTGAACCTCGCAAACAAAGCGATTTTCGCCTTTTCTGCGTGATAAAATTGAATTTAACCCAGAAATTTTGAATTTATCGATTGGTTATCGTATTATTACAATCGGTGTGAGTATTACTGTCCCAATAAATTCTGTATGTAAACTTTTTTCAACTAGAGACAATTTTTGTAATAGTGGACACAAACGAGATTATGGATCAGCTATAAATTGCCTCCTATTGCCTGTTTAGAGGTCCATCAACGCTCTTCTTTTTCATAAAGTAAGGCCTGTTGTCCTGACAGCTGGAGATTCTGGCAAAATACAGCTGTTCCGGGTAAGTTTGATCACACATGGGATTAGCTATTTCTGCTAGAAAACGCTCATTTTCCATACTCAGGTTGATGAAAGATTGGCTAATGGCAACTTCTTGCAAAATGTTCAGTTTTCTGATTTTCCCATAACGAGTACGGGTTTCACACAAAATGGTGACGCTGTCATCTGCGGATCCAGACGACAGGTGGGCTTTTATTGTATTTCTAGCTTATCGAGTAGGAGTCAAATAAATGCTTCAGAGATATTTGATGAATTATCACCTTGAACAAGGTTCCGTCATGCAGCTAAATCTCCCTAAAAGTAAGTGTAGTAGTTTTGATTATATATATATCTGACAGGTAATCTATTCATCTGTCTTTTTTTTTCTGGAAAATTAATTGCTACAACGGGCTAAACGAAAATAAAAATTGAAAACAAAAATTTTCTGAAAATTGATTGCGAAAAATCCGTCTGAATGAGAAGTGCGTTTTCACTTTAACTTTAAAAAATAAAAATACCGTATAAGCAATCCTATGGCGAACCACCAACTCCGTACTTTCCATAACCCACTTTAAGGTGTCTCAAATCAGTGTCCTGCACACTTCACTATATCTAATGATGGTTCTTTGCTCGCAATGATCGCTCAAAGCTCCCAAGTCCTTGTTTTTTCTTTGCCAGTGAGTCTCGCTGCATGATCAGGTTGTTCCACAATACCATTTTGATGTTCAGACAATGGAACTTGTGAAGAGGCTGTCAGCTCCTTCAGAAGTCTCATCGTTGCAGTTTTCTTCAGATTCGAACCAAGAGATTTGGGCATTGACAGGTTGGTGAGACAATTTGAGAAAATCATGTCTCTATATAAAACTAAACCAGATGTTCAGCTATTGATATTCGTCGAGGCAAAAGTACGAAGCAGTATGACTAGGAGAAGTGAATTATATAAAATGTCAGGAAAAGAGTAGGGAGTAAGACTGGTTACGGGTTAAATTACAAAACATAAGAACATCCTTAGGAAAACCAGTATAAGTTATCCCCATTTTGAGAATTCGAGAGAAATCTCAAACAGATGTTTTCTATTTCGAAAAAGAGAATTAATTGAAAGAGTTGTGAGACGCAAGTAATCAGTTATGAGAGTATCCAACATGTATCTGCTTCTTGAAATGATTCGTAAAAGTTTGCTTTCTGATTTGATGAAGGCAAATTTTTGCTTTCTGATCTGATGAAGGCAAATTGACTAACCGTCCTTATCGATATGGAAACACCCAAAGAAAAAGTTTTGCTATGTTAAGCCCGTGTTAGCTTTGTTAATTTTTACAGTACAGCCAATCTTGCATCACATCTGTACTCATAGTTAATTTTCTTGAGTTCTTAAAAGTTACGGGATTCACATACACATTTTTCCAATGAATCTAGTGTTCAACAAAGATTCGGTAGAAAAATCAAGCAATTACCCTCACATTGCTGCTGTCAAAAGATGATAACCACTGTCTGCAATATTTTAGCTACTCATGAAGCTGAAGCGCTTTTTTCATTTGATGCTATCAAGTTTTAGAAAGAGGCGAAGTCATTATCTGGAATTTCCACGGTTTTCAACATATGTTTCGCGATGAAGGAGCAGTACATGGGACGAAAATCAGGCTGAGCTACGATGGCATGAAAGTTGCTTGTGGGTGAGTTGAGAGCGCAATATGCTGGTTTTTTTGATTGTTGAGAAATCAATTTAGATCGAATACTGGCATCGTTAATGTGTACGATGTGGCAGATGTCCGTGGTAACGGTCACCCAAAGCCGTGCACAGTCGCTTCGAATCTGACCACATCCTGCGATTCCATCTCTTTCAGCCACGACTCGCAGATAATGGCTTTTAGCAGTAGAGCAAAGGTCAAACCGAACAAATGCTTATCCAAATAATGTCAAGCACAAATTTAAACAAATTTAGAGAAACCAAGTCAAGCTTCTGCACCAAGTCAAGCTTCTCGATTTTATCGATTTTTTGAAACTTTGAGCTAGGGGGCTGGAATTTGGCAAGGGGTGTAATCGAGCATGCTGATCACCCCCCTTGGGGGTGATCAGCATGCGCGATTACCCCCCTGTGCCAACTCCCGGCCCCCTAGCTCAAACTTTGCAAAAAATCGATAAAATCGATAATAGTAATCGATAATCTAGAAAACCAATATTGTATTCGGAATCCCCATGCTCGATTACCCCCCTGTGCCAACTCCCAGCCCCGTAGCTCAAACTTTGCAAAAAAATCGATAAAATCGATAAAAGTAATCGATAATCCTGAAAACCAATATTGTATTCGGAATCCCCATGCTCGATTACCCCCCTGTGCGAACTCCCAGCCCCGTAGCTCAAACTTTGCAAAAAAAATCGATAAAATCGATAAAAGTAATCTATAATCCTGAAAACCAATATTGTATTCGGAATCCCCATGCTCGATTACCCCCCTGTGCCAACTCCCAGCCCCGTAGCTCAAACTTTGCAAAAAAATCGATAAAATCGATAAAAGTAATCGATAATCCTGAAAACCAATATTGTATTCGGAATCCCCATGCTCACTTCCCCCCCCCCCCCTGTGCCACCTCCTAGCCCTGTAGGTGAACTCTGCAAAAAAATCGATAAAAATCGGTAAAATCGACATCGATCGATAACGAAAAGTGGACTGTAACACCCGCCGGGGCCCGAAGTGTATGTGTGCCAAGTTTGGTCCGGATACGGCGGAGCCGGGTAAGCCAGCTAGTCCTTACATATAACTTGAAAAAACAATAATCTCTGCAGAAATAAGTAGCCATTCCTATATGGGAAGAAAGGCTCTTTTTTGATGGCTGTTAAAAACATCTGTATCAAAATGCAAGCACTAGAGCACTAGTGGAAGTGAAGGTCATGTCAAATTTAGTAACTCTTATTTTCTAACAAACAACTTGATTTCATGAAAGAAGAATAATTCATCAGCAAACATTACCGTTTGCCGTCAATTGACCTAAACGATATGTTGAGTAAAAAAGTATTCCTATAAAATTATTCTATTGTACATCTCTCTGAGAGAAGCAACACATACCCAAAAAGCAATACAATGTTTTCCCTATACATCATTCATATCTGTAAATTATCTTTAGGCAAGCTCTTCAGGCTAGAAATAAGAAATACCTTGATGAAAGAGTAAGAAATAAAAATCAATATGCTCTTGTTTACGTTGTCTTTTGTGTGTTTATTCACATTTTGTGATTCCGGTTGAAAACATTTGGAGACTTCCATCAAATGCGCGAAGCGAACTTATGTGAACAAAAGATTTGGACCAATTGTAAGATAGAATTTCCCCCATAGAAAGCAATTCTGCCTCTTTGTTGCGACTTCACGTTCTGATGTTTATAACGAAAAAGTGTTTGCAAGTGCTATTCTAATCTTATCTTAACTTGGTCTTCTCGTTATCTCAGCCATGGCAACGTTAAAAACATAAAGAAAGCAGCAGAAAATCATGCAAAAATTAGCGCTCACTCACGTACATATGAAAGGAACATGAGCAACTGTGATTTGATATTTATTCAAGGATGCTTGATGAAACTAAAAAAAGATTGACAATTAAACTCAATTCGATTAACTGCACTGGCTAGAAGACATTTGAAAAAGGGGTTGCATGGCAAAATTATGAAAAGATTGAATATCAGTCGGTTTGTGGCCCTTTGCATAAAGGTAAAATAGTTTGCCAGCTGAGCAAGAAGGCGAAAATCGTATGTAACTTTCTTTGCTGTCGTCACCTTGTCACCCTTCACTTTGCTACCGTAACGATAATGAGTGAAGATTAATTTTTGCAAAACAAGGTTATTTTTCGACAATGCTGGGGTTTCAACTGATTGCAGCCATTGTTATCATTTTTTCTCGTAAGAATATGGTATGAATCATAGTAACTAATCATCGAGAATGCGTGTCTTTTCGAATATAACAATGCAACCAAAATGTCAATGTCTTATCATAATGCATACTTCTTTTGATTTATGCGACGCTAACGGGATATTCAGAGAAAATCTAGAAATCCTTACGAAATCCGAGGTGAACAAGAATTCGCTCATGCTTGCCAACATCAAGAGTTATAAGAATAGTAGTTAATCTTTCTTGTTATGAGCGTTGATTGGCCCAAACAGAGTTATGATGCCATACAAAGGTCCACAGCTGCTTAATAAGGATTTCCAGTTGCCCACTTCGAATACTGAACTTTCACAAATGATTTTGGGTCGCGGAGATATCACAATCCTTCCATTGCTGTGGGAATGATTTTAAGCAAAAATGCTATTGCCAAGCTACTCCTAAAATGCTTAAAATTGTAAGGTGGCACAGAGATCCAGGGCAGTTTAGCTAGTGTAATGAAGAAAAGGTAACTTTAACAATGTACAATTTGTTTTCGCCGTAGCCATAGAGGTAATGAATCAAAATCTGCAAATGACAGTAAACTCGAAGATGGGAAAATACATATAGAATTTCCATGTAATATTATCCGAAATGAAGATGATCCAATAAGAGGACGCCAGCTCAGCAGCTCCAAAGTGCTGTTGATTACACCTCTGGTTATTAGTGAGATAGCTCTTTATTTAGAGCTCGGCGGCGTAGTAGCGTTCCAATATCAGAAAAAAAGAAAGGAAAAATAATGACATTTTATCAAGATCTTATTATTTTTTGAAAAATGTGTATGTACACAGTTTTACGCGATACGGGTTTTTTGCTTGCTTGTTTTAGCTAACTCGTATGACATAGATTTACGCTCTTATACATAACGTTAATAGCTTCTCAGATCAAGTTTGCAGTCATAGTTCAGTTGTGCAAAAAAAACAATTTTGCTGTTAAATTGTTCCTTAGTTGGCAAAAAGATAAACCACTGGAATAAATGTGTTATGAAATTTTCGCGAGCTTTGAGACTATTTGAGGCGTGAATCTTGAATAGCATGAACATAATTCTGTGCTCCAATTTTACTCTTCTCTCGATCTACTTTTTGCATCGTCGCATTGCAACGAACATCTGTCTCGATGCATTTCTACTCTGTTGTCAGGGAGAGGCGCAGAGCCAGCCAGATAGAATTTAGCCATTTTCGTGTTAAAAGCTTTGTTGCCTTTGTATTGTTGTTGTATTGCCTTTTGAGGAGCCCTACAAGGAATGAACCCGGGACGGATGTTGCGAAACCATGACTTTCTTATGCTTTGGAGCCTCTAAAGTTTTTGTTGAAATTGGAAATTGTGTACTTGAGGTCTAGAGTATAGTATGATAACATGTAAAAAAAATATATCAAGCCATAATCAAGGCTTTCTGGATGAAGTACGCGCCAGGACATGACTGAAAAGCCATTTGAGACTCTATGAAGTGTTCCTTTATCTTTTGCTCTTCACTGCTTCCGAAAAAGCAGGAGACAACGAGACACGAATCGAATTGCATTGAATTGTTCCCATGCTATGGCGCTGCAAGCTAGCTCTTCTCAGAAGTTATAGAGAAAGTCACTAAAAGCAGAAAGTCCTCGCTTATGCTTTTCAACTACAAAACATTTTAAAGTATTTATTGAGCAAAGACCAATATTATATTCCATAAATGAATACAATATAAAAGGTGAAAGTCGGGGTGAGCTTTCTGTGCTGCTCTAGTTTTCAAGATTGATAAGAAAAGATTTTCACGATTCTTGATGAAAAAAGGTATTCTACAGAGTTGCAGAGAAAAATCTTTCTTGAATAATCGGAGAATGACTGAACCCACGTCTCCAGATTAGTATATATTTACGCCATGAATTTCTAAACATATTCAAAGCCCTGTTTATTGCACGAAGAATGTATTAAGAAGAGAGCGCCAGTGATTCTTTTTTTCCACTCGGGAGAAAACCTTATGGCAGCAAACTTCTTGATCAAATGAGCTCTAACAGCACAATGTCTTCATTGTGCACTCGAAGGAATAGACAAATGGGTCTCGTCGCTTAGGGCTTTTCGAGAGGGATTAGCGAGTACAACCGAATAGTGTCTGCCGCTGGCATTCACATGGATTTCTGACCAAATTTCACATTTCGAGCGTGAGAGCCGAGAGCAGGAGGGGCCACGAAAGGGGCATCGGGAGCGGGAGGTGCCGCCCACAGCTGTCCGGCACTCCGACGATGCTTTCCCGAGCGGCCCGTCAGCCCCGTGCTGCACTTTCCGGTGGGTTCTTTGTCTTTCTCTTCTGTGATTTATTACGACCCATGTGGTTTTCATCAGCCCAGAGGTAGACAGAGGCAATAGCGTCAATTTTTTGCCGCATTACGGGGGGGGGGGGGGTACTAGCCTAGGGCAAATATCACACCATAACGATAACTCGACCCAACCTTTTGCGCACTGTTCGCGCTTGATAAGACGTATTGATTCCGATGAACCTTCGCACATTTGAACACGGAAGTAGCAAAAAACCCATTAAATCCATGAAAAGCAGCCCATGATGTTAATCCAGTGGAAAAACCCATGAGAGAGCCAGACTATGTTAACGAATTCGCGAACAGAACTCATTTAGGGCTGCCATGGCAAATGAAGGCCTTTTTCTGACATTCGTGCAGGGGAAAATGCTTCTTAAATTACCTCGCGTAACTTGCGTGCAGAATAAATGACAATTTCTTGATTGGCTTTTGTGGAATCATGTCTTTATACTCTTTGAGGTTCAGGTATTCTCTCAGATATTAGTCTTGAGACTTGATAATTTGATTTGCCAGTGGACAATTTTATTTTGCTGATTATTATCTTATCTGTGCGCTTAAGTGAGTATGAAAAATTTGTTCGTCTTCCCTACTTCATGCAGACCTTGAAATCTGACTTTCTGATTCCAAAGATTAAACTTGATTTGTGGATTTTCCAAGAAAGAAAGATTCTGTTCATATGGTATCTAGATCGATCAATTCTTTACTACTTAGTTGTTTACAGATATTACAACAAGGGGAATATGAAACTTAAACTCGGTGATTAGATAGTAAACAAGTTATTAGATTACTGAATTTTAGTTTGCAATCTTGAGGGTCTTTTATGCTTTACTGAGCTGTTATTTTCTCTAAAGAGTAATTTTAATTCTCCACCTACGCTTTAGTGCCGATTTTCTGCGAGATTAAATTCATTAATACGTAACAACTTTGCAAATTTTTTGTTGGCTCCTTCTGGGACCAAGAGCTGTACGGACCAATAATATTTTTTAGATAAAACAACGCACTCTGTCATATACATTATACCTGTAGTAGTTTCGGGAGGCTGAATAAAAAGATGGAGGTTATTTCTAGGTTCAATAAAACCTTTTGAAGCGAGTTCATCCCAAGACATTGCCAAAGCAAAACTAGGCCTTGGCACACCATGAATGTCAAAGGGTCGTCAGATTTGTTGATTTTGATAACTTTCTCAGAAATTTCTCCTTTATGTTTGTGCTGGTCTAAACTATTACTTAATTTCTGAATGATTCTGACAACGTGTACGGAGTAGTTAAACTAGCGAAAATGACTCAGGCTCAATCGTTTCAATGCATTTTCTCCTCTCCCATACTTTCACTATGCTCGTGCTTCCTGCAATTACGTTCTCAAGTCTATTCAAAATGAATTACTTACAAAAATGCACCGACATTACTTTTTTGACCGACAAGCTTGTCTCCATTTCACTCTTCTCATTTTACTATACTATTTGTTTTCCCATTAGCTTCGCGCTCAAAAAAGTTTCGTGTATTTAAAAGAGTTTCCAGACTTCAAAAAGGTGCGTAGAGATACGATTCTTTCGCTTTATACAATTTTTCGTTTTTCCTGACTTTACTCATCTATTTCAATGTAGCGTTTTGTTTTCGCTAACCTCACTGATCTATCTCAATGTAAGAAGATCAGAGGTACAAGCAACAGTCAGCAAAATTCGTAAAATTCACTAGCCAGTAAGCTTATAATTACAGTGTACGGTACAGATTAGCAAATTTATGCATTGTTCGCGCTCCTCGATATAGAATACTTTGATTATTGCAGGATTCTTCACTTAAAAAGTGAAGATGAGGGTTGTTTTCTTCGTGTAAACTATGTTGAGCTGCACTGCATCTGCGCACTTTGCTCTTTTAATACACGCGTGTCAAAGTGCAAGTTTTTCGAAGACAAAATTCCATAAACAAAGCTAAGGCTAATCCGGTGAACATCGAAATAAACCGCGGAAGGCCAGAGAACCACCAAGGAGCTATAGGGAGCTTAGCAAGGCCAAGAGACCACTTTTGCACCTTCATAAAAAGAAATAAATTCGCCAATTTGCAAAGGCTGGTAAACACACTTTTTGTCTTAGGCTCCTCACTAATAATACATGAGCTATTTTATTTTTAGTAGTCTTGAATCTCAATTTTTCCAAGGTCCTACTTGTAATTGTTACGATTTTAGCTCAGTTGACCATTACGGTACCAGCTCTTCGTTTCGTTAAGGGAAAACATAAATTGCAGTGGTTAATCTACTTGGCAAAATCAGGTTATTTAATGATGGAAATCGCAATGGCTGCGCATAAATTTAATTTAAAAAATTTTCTGCGCAAACTAGGCTTCATGGTAGTCCAAAGTTTTCGTCTGAAAAGCCAATAGAGCTTTTTCGAAGCGGTCCAGATAGTAGATCAATCTCCCATTATACCATGCTTTTTAGCAGTACGATGTGCATCAAGCATCTCCTCTCAAGAGCCGGCTGGGCCATCGATGAAAACCGCTGTGCCTGGACCGAAATCACTAGCTATAAAGGAGAAAATGGATCCAATACATGTGAGTGAATTATCTGTCATATGGTCGTTTTTGGAGACATTTCCATATGTCTATAATTTGACGAAGAAAAATGACATCTCGCAGTAAAAGACAAGGGATCGTGGTACATTCGTTCTTGGAAATTATCAAAAACGTTTGGAAGGTGTTTACTGACCTATGAATTTATACTATTTATCTCTCTCGTGCTGAGTTTTCGTTTGGTCACGTACTTGTAAATTTTATATTTCATCATAGATAGATTTATTTTTTATGCGCTTTTGGCTTTTGATTGCGTTTTTACTTTTATAGCCAGGTAAGAAGCTTTTAAATTTACAAGACTTGGATATAGATTGCTCCAAATTCCTCGTGGCTTTCCTTGAGCTCTTTGCTTTCCATTTAGTCGTCGATGGAAGGTGATCAGAAAATTGGGAGAAAAAAGTAAAAACTGACTTTTACACAGGACCTGCTCTAAGTCAGAATAGCTTGCTCGGAGCGAAGTCTATTTCTTTTCGCTTTGCTTCTTTCCTCCTGTAAAAACTCCACAATTATTAGTTAGCCACTGATGAGCTGAAATTTCTCATTACCATGAATTACTAGAGTTTTCTCTTTTCTTCCAAAGAAGCTACAGCTTGCATTTTGTCAATTATTCACTTCTCATTTCAAGGTTATTGCATTTCTCATAGTCTCATAATTTATCAGTCCACCAAACACCCGAAGGTCATCCTCGTGGTCTCATTCGATGTTACACTAGCACTACAACTGCTTCACCAGTTTGCCCTCTCACCTCGATAATGCCAAACAACTGCCAGTGCAAGACATGATTCGCGCTCAGTCACGTGTGAAAAAAAAATACAAACACACAAAAAAACTGGAAAGGAAAGTCCAAAAAGGGATTACCTGATTGATAGTCCTAGGATTTTTTTTCAAGGAAGGGAAAAGCTTCGAATTACTTAGGCAGTTCATGACCTTAGGATCTAAAAAAAGGAGAAGGCGAAACCACGCTGAGAGTAAATTTTTTTGCCGAGGTAATTCAGTGTTTCATAAAATTCAAAATATCATCGTATATAAAAGCAAAATTACTTCACTCACACGGTTTACAACTCATGTAGGCCATCGAAACTGCGATTTTTTTGGGGGGAGGGGAAGGGTCTTCGATTCGTCGCTTCCGGAAAGACACTGGTAATCCATATTTAGAAGTCAAAAATACGGATTTTTTTAGCAAACCACATCGGTTCGGATGTTTGTTGACTTTGAGAAGTCGTTTGGAAACTACGTTGTTGATGCTGATGGTAAGTCCTACACATTCTCAAGAAATTTTACTATATGACCGTAAGAAAATCAAGGACAGATTTTCCCTTTAGGAAACACGATGCTAGATGTGTACACACAGATCTCATCTCTACCACTTGGCTACAATCATCCTGATCTAGTGAAAGCAGCTTCAAATCCAAATTTTATCGTAAGTTTTTGTCGAAATTCTGATTAATTTTCAAAGCTGCTCATACTTGTCCTTTGTTTTCACACAAAAACAAAGCTTTATATCTTAGTTCATGCAAAAAAACGTCACTCTCGGTCTACAGGATGGAGAGAGAAAACGACCGAAACTTTTAACTATGTTGCAGCAGACTTCCTTTTTTGGTGTTGACTCACATCTAAATAAGTTCATTAGACAAAGTGCACGAAGGCAGAATAAATGCATGCCATGTGAGCGTTCATTGCTGCATGCAAACTCCTCGTATGCTATTCCCTAGCGCGTTCAATAAAATCCGGAGAAATATGCTATAGCATGATTTAACAAAATAAGATTAGTGGTAGAAAACGTCTCGTTTATTTTTGAACGATGGAATCTTTTTTTGATTTAGATCGCCTCCAAATTCGTTGAAAAAGCATATATGAAAAGGTATACAGCTTGAACTGTTCGAAAATATCCACGGAGTCGTTTTCTGTGACTGTGAGTTTGTGGGCTGGTTATCTAAACCTCATAGTTGTGTTGGTGTTGAGACTTTGTGCTTCCTGGGGCTAAAGCTCAAAAAGGAAAAAATGAAATAGCAAATGAGGGTATAGTTATTTGGCACACGAGGTTACACCTTGTAACGCTTAAGCAGCCTAGTGATGAAGTATCCTATATGATCAAAAGGACTGACTTGGTCAAGGTAATGAGGATGCGACTGGCCTGTTCTATCTAAATAAAGCAATTCTAACCAAGTGAATGCAGCTGGCTTTCACCTCTAATGGACTTTTCGATGATGCCTTACCACATACGCTCGCAATTAGATTTCAACGCAAAAACAAACAGGGACCTTCCGTACAAAATTGCTCGATTCCAACTTTTGCTAAGCTACTGCTTACAAAAAAAAAAAGAAAAGCTTTCTTCTCTAAGTTTACTGTGAAAAGTTAATCTTAACGGGAAATGTGAGAACATATGTGAATGCATCTATAGAAGTTAGTGAGAAGATTTTGCTTATAATGCTGATTTAAGGATCTATCATTTAACCATTCATTGAGCTACAATCCGAAGAAAAGAGTTTCGCAAAAAAGTGCAAGCTAATAATCATCATGCAAGTTTTGATAGCAGAAAAACATAGAGTGAGAAGTTAAAACCAACATATGAACCACGCAAAATCTCGCATGCTAGAGCTGGTAAAGGAGATGACAATTATAAGATTTTCCATTTCAGACTTCACTTGTCTCACGACCAGCCCTTGGTTCTTTCCCCCGTAATGACTTTCCTGATGGTATCGAAGCAGCACTTACATCAATTGCACCCAAGGGCTTGAAGGTATGCCATTTGTTCTCTATAATAAATGGAGCAAAGAAGAATCATAAGTAACCGCCGGTGTCGATTTTTACTGTTTTTAGGCAGTACAAACAATGCTTTGTGGAACTTCAGCCAACGAGAACGCTATCAAAACTGCTTTCATATGGTGCGTACGATCACGACTGACTTTTGATGTACTCACTCACTGTCGTAAAACCGTTAATGAATTTTAGGTATATGACAAACCGACGAGGTGGTAATCCTCCTGACAAAAAGGCTCTCGATACCGCTATGCTTCAGCAAGAACCCGGAACACCTCACTTGTCAGTACTGGGCTTCCAGGTAGCTCTGTCGGGAATCTTTCAAATATGAAAATCGAAAGTTTTGCAAATCAATCTTTTTTTTCAAAAAAATCGTGTCCTACGTTTATTGAGGTTTTCATTGAGTTTCTAGCAAGTTTATCTTCTAGGGAGCTTTCCATGGACGTTCTCTTTGCATGCTCTCGGTCACTCGAAGTAAAGCCGTACATAAGGTGATCATCAAGGAAATCCAAAGACTCATTTTTTCTATGAAAATGTCCTTTGTAGGTGGATATCCCAGCATTTGACTGGCCTATTGCCAAGTATCCACGGTACAAATATCCCCTCAAAGATAATAAAGAGTACAATGCCGCACAAGATAAAGAAAGTTTACAAGACGTTAGGGAGAAGATTGCAGAATGGAAGAAAAAGGTGAAATTGTTTATGATTTACATAATGCTCCGCGCTGCCGTGAGGTCACGCTAGCATATGGTATGACATCTTCATTTGGACAATAAGAACTAATTTTGCAGAATCACGATGTGGCTGCAGTAATCGTTGAACCTATTCAAGCCGAAGGCGGTGACAACTATGGAAGTCCAGAATTCTTCCATGAACTGCAGAAAATTTGCAAGGAAAATGGGGTTTGCTTCATTGTCGACGAGGTAAGCTATTTCTAAGATTACAAATGACCGCTAATTCAAAAGGGCTCAATAATTATTATCTTTTATTTTTTTAGTTCATCGTCGTAGTTCCACAGTATTAACCTCAGTATGATAGTTCATGAGTTTTTTTCAAGTGTTGCCCCTGATTTCGGATATAGTGCGACGTAAAATTTTTGAAGATTTCATTATGCTGCATCTTTTGAAAGAAAAAAGTTTCTAAGCACCATAGAATTTCAAAAATTTACGTACTTTTGTTAATCCCTGTAAAAATTTGTTACTCTCTGTAAAAGGTTCTAGTGAATTAACATATTATTTCTTTTGCGATGCTCCGTAAAGAGAGCGAAAGTAGATTACTTTTTACAAACTCGAGGTAACACAAAAATCTCAGTAAAGCTGTTCTTGTGCAAAATACTCAAATGATCGTCAATCGAAAAATATCATTGTGTATCACAACAAGGAATAGCTAAGACAATGCCACACAAATAATTTTCTTTGGTTGGTCACGGTTCAGTAGATTGGACTAAACGCTATTTGTTTTCAAGGTACAAACCGGTGGAGGTGGGACTGGCCAATTCTGGGCTCATTCACATTGGAATCTGCCAACCCCTCCAGATATTGTGACATTCTCAAAGAAACTCATCACGGGTGGTTATTTCTATGGAGAACACATGCGCGTGAAAGAGGTAAGTTGACAAATATCGGTTTTTCTCATGGTTATTATTGAAAATTACAGGCTTACCGAATCTACAACACATGGATGGGAGACCCATCTAAACTATTCCTGCTACAAAAAGTCGTTGAGGTCATTAAGAGGGATAATCTTGTAGAGAAGACGAAGGAAGTGGGAAAATACTTCCAGCAAGAGTTAAATCGACTTCAGGTATGAAAAGGCATACCTTGAAATTGGCACTATGCCAACACCATTTTAGTCAGCACATTCTTCGATATTCTCTCAAGCACGTGGTATGGGAACATTCGCTGCCATTGACCTTCCCAATGCTGGAATTAGAGATCTATTTGTGACAAAGGTATTTTGAAAATGTGAAAGCTAGCTGTTTTTCTCAATGCTATTTAGGCAATCGATTCCGGATTGCATTGTGGAGGATGTGGTGAAAAATCTGTGCGTTTCCGGCCAGCACTCATTTATGGAAAGAAGCACGCCGAAATCACTTTTGACATTTTGGAAAAAGCTGTCAAACAGATCTAAAGACATTCTAATAAATCTATCACTGAATATTGCAAATGGTTTCTATTTCACAAAACACACAAAAACTTTCAGCTGAAACTCGCCAAGTGCAAAAAAACCGGGTCAAAAAATGAATCCAGGTAGATTTACTAGCTTACTGTTTTCGTTGGCTTCTTAGAAAAGCTACTGTCTCCGATGTATTTGCTGTTCATATCACTATTTACTAAAGTCCCGAAATTAATTTCGCTTTTTTGAAAGGCCCCATATTTCATACAAGAAAGATTAACAAAGACTAGCAGCATTTCATGCAGCTTTATCCTCTTTCGCGTAGTTATGTTTTTGTAGCAGCGAAGTCAATAAGCTTGAAGGAAATTACCAAAATTTAAAAATCATGTTTTTTGCGATAGTCAAGGTTATCTTCCTAAATTTCTACGACAGCCCTATAGGTAACAACTCCAAGTAACATATAGGCAGAGCAAACTCACTGGGACAACGAAAGAATTACTTGTGATCTTAATGCAAATAATTTTTTAAGCAATATTGTTAAGCTCTATTCGTATCTAAAAATGTGATTTTAGGTATCAGGCAAGCAAGGGCTGATTTGATGTTTGAAAATCTCAACTTTTGAGAAAAAAAAAACATCTCAAAAGTTAGTGTCCAGCTGGGAAGTTACTCAATCTTTGCTCAAAGGTTGCAACCAAAAATTCCAGAAAAATTGGATTTAAGCCTTTATGAGGCAGTTGGTCGCTAACTCCAACACTTTTTTGGAAAGCCTTCAAGTATTTCACTTTAGGAGAAAACCGAAAGGGGAGGGAGAGCTACAGCGAATGCGATTGAGATTGCTTACTAATCTTGATGACGGGTGAGCGCTTAGTCAATGCGAAGTTAGGCTCCCGCCAGAGTGCCGAAGTTATGCCAGCGCTACGCCAGCATTTCGATCGATACACGTGTATTTCGTTGGGGCGGGGCTAGCTGACGTCCCCAACGAAATACACGTGTATCGATCGAAATGCTGGCGTAGCGCTGGCATAACTTCGGCACTCTGGCGGGAGCCTTACTTTCGGGACGCCTACATGCTATACATGCATCTGCTTGCCGTAACCCATCTGGAAAGCTATCCGTCTCAAAGGGCTAAATTTCTTGATTTTTACCAACTTCATTCTTATCGTAATCCCAGTTGCTTTTTGCCTATACCGCAAAGAATTCGAGTGAAAGCCGTATGCATGTAGAATACCGTTTTATCTAAAGCACGGTTGCCCGGTTCATGTGACTTATCGTCGCGTGGCCGAATTGCCTGTTTTGACACAATAGGAGGCCCGATTCTACGAATCGTTTCAGATTTGTTTACGGTAGGTTATCCAGTGTGTTTATTCATTGCACTCATTGGGCAATCTACAATAAGCAAAAATTGAAACATCCTTGGAATGTAGCCTCCGTTGTTAAGCGGGCAGCTCTATATATCTGAAGATGCGTTGAGTCGAATGGTGTCCTTGCCTTAAGAATTCGTCCACTCTGAAGCTAGATATGGCTACGCGACGGAGATGTCGCATGATCAGGCGACCGTGCGTCGTTCCTTCAAAAAATACAAGCGGTATTGTACATCCCTGCAGGGGAAGCGAGAGGAGCTGTGTAAGGTCGGCCTCTCTTTAACGCCTTAGGAGCCTGTGTTTCCGCTGTCTGTGCACCTTGCTCTACTACTCTAATAGCCAGGCTTAAAGGCAGTGTCCCGGCAGATTCGGATCCTGGGGGATATACGTGTGGTGGGGTTCCTGGTTACCCCATCGACCTCCAGGCGCACTCCGGCTGGGTGATGTTCTCCCTGGGCCGAGAAAATGGCCCTTGAACCGGCGCGCGCAACCCCAACTGGCGCGCGCTTGGACGGCCTTCCCCGCCTGTTCGGCGCGGGACCCCACGAGCGCTCTCCCCCATGATGCATGCTATCCAAAGCAAGAATTACAGGCGGCAGGATCTTCGTCTGAGGACCTCCTCCAACTTTCCATTGAAAATCTCGTCCAAGCTGCTTTTCTGGAATTAGGAAAACGCCCCAAAATCGGCCTTTTCATCCCGTTCAAAGCTCAAATTCGGATTCTACGTGGCGAAAAGGCCTAAAACATGCAAAAAGGTGGAGGTGCAGAATCTGCCGGGACACTGCCTTTAATGAATGGCAGCTCGCTGGTGTGAATTTAGCTCTCTAATTTTGTATGAGCCCCTCTCGATGAATCTCCACTCTTCACTGAATCTATCTATCCTTTCATGAGGTTAACACGTTGACGACAATGTCGCGCAATGGTGCGCGAAACCCTAAATACCAGTTCTAATGTGCACGATGGTTTCAATTTGTATTCACATAATCAATTTAGGCTCTGAAGTTTTCATGTTGGCCCCGCCCCTCTTTTGGCAAACTCCGTCCACTCTGTTGCCCTCTACAAAAAACTTTTTTCGTTCTCAAATCGCACAGAAAAGCTCGTAGATGACTGGGGAACCTTGAATAATTTAAATTTTGACCCCGCCCCCCATTATGCAGGCCCCACCCCCTGAATGGCAAGCTCCGCCCACTTTTCAAAATGCCGGAATTTGCAGAATTCATTGCTTTGAACAATTTCCAACATTTCTGAAAAATGGGAGAGGCTTGCCAAAAGTGGGCGGAGCTACCCCATCCACTTGCATTTTTGTACCCCACGCATAGATGCATACCAGTGGCGTACCCAGGATTTCGGCTCGGGGGGGGGGGCGCGACAAAAATTTTTTTTCGATGAAGGTGCGTGGCGTTAGCCACGCACACCGAAAAAATTTTTGGTATGCTTCCTGAATGTTTCGGGGGCTCAGGACGAAAAAATTTTTTTATAAGGCTAAATTGAATTTTTAAAAATTTTTAAAAATTATATTAATTACTTACAAGTATAAACAAGTCTTTTGCACATTTTTATAACTCATGTAAGTAACTTTCAAAAATTTTGCGAGCCATTCTCGGGGGGGGGGGCGCCCCCTCCCCTCGGTACGCCACTGATGCATACCTTCGATTCGTTGCGCACAAAGACTGCGGACTTATCGGCGCCTCTGTGATCAAGCGCTCTTTCGTTCCTCTTACCACCTGCTGTCTCTCCCACGCACCAGCTATTTTGGTCGTACGCAATGGCGCCCAGTCTTTGTGCGTTTTGAATCGACGATACATACATATAATACATGCAGCCGGCTGTGAAAAGGCCCCGAAACGGTTCGTCCACTTGACGTGTTAAGGAAAATAAAGATGCAGTGATATGTGAGAAAATGGAAATCTTAGCACGGAAACTTTTAGATGAATCAGGTTGCGAAAAAGTTCATCGAAGCATTTGCAATTTTAACACTTCTCTTCCTGTCAAAAGATACTTTTCAATGAAACTCATTATCTTCAGCACATCCTTGTGATGTTTTATTGAGTTCGTGACAAGATAAATGACTATGAAGAATAGCATCGATCCTCTAAAGGTGTGCACTATCTACCCGTTCACCATCCACTTGTTCATTCAAATAAAGGACGACTTCCTACTTCGTAGTTGATGCGCGACTAACAGCTGCGCAATCACCTCAAACGAGTGTGACGGTATTCTTCCCTCTTTACCAGCATGATCTGCTTGCACAAACTTTGCTTTACTGAGTATCCAAATATTATACATGCATTTTCCGGACATACAGAGTGTAACTACAGTGAATCCTTTTATTCAACTTAATTGATAGCTAAAAGACGCGGCTTCGAGGCTAATCAGGCTTGCGCATGATCAGAGAAACGCTCGCGAGAGACACAGACTCCATTGGAAGCGCAAGCGGTCTCCTTCCATCCGCCAATCCCGTTAAAGGCAATGTCTCATCAAAATTGGGATGGGCGGGTCTCCACATATTTTGTTAGAGGACCCCTGAACAGACAACCGCCTCAAGCTCGATTCGGTCCGGGCCCTTCTACGCTGAGATGCACTCAAAGTGGCCAACAAAGCGCGATTTGTCCCGCACGACCGATGTTCGGTTTCGGCCTAAGGTATACCTCACGCGATTCGGCCGAGTCGCCACTTTCACGCGACTTCGAAATTTGCCAGATTTCTACAAATTCATCGTACGCGCTTTTCGGACGCAAATTTGGGTAGCTTGTGTAAGCTGTTGCAAACGGAGCAAATTCCGACCAAAGGCAGCGCGTTAACGACGAATTACGAAGAGTCGCTGTTGTGCCGAATCGCGCGAGGTATGCCTTAGGCCTTACGCGTTTCAACATGTCCCTACCTTGGCGTTCTGCATTTAACTGTCGGGACGCAGCTATTACCCGACAGCTGCTCGCGATGGAGGTTGGCCTAAGATAGCGAACCTCTGGCAGTGACCTCCGCCCGCCGACAGGAGGCGGTTGACTCTTCCCCTTTTGTATATAGTTTGAAGGACTCGCGAACCTTTATCCTGACACAATCAGCAAAAGTTGCTCGTACTTACAAGGAAAGGGTACTTGGTGACCTCGGACATTTGGAATGTGATGTATACCATAAGGTGCACCTCGAAACGCTGATTCTAAATCTGTGCTCGAAATCTGCGGCGATCATATGAAGGTAGTTATGAACTTTCTTCGTAGAAAATTTGCACTCTAAGGTAGTTAAAATCACCCAATCTGATCTATTTTACCGTTTGAAGCAATTGAGCAGGATATTGAAAGGTGTAACGTTGTATTTACACCTATCTAAATCATACTGAGCATTTGAAGAGGAAAGGGAAATTTTCATTGATTATTTTCACCCTCCGCAGTAGCGCAATTCATTCTTGAAAAAATAATTATAACTCCATCTAGGTTCTCTTTTCGCAGATGTGGAAAACAGAAATCGAACCAGCACTAAAAGGCGTATTTTGTGATAGACAAACCATTATGAATGGCCGGGGTCACCAAGTATCCTTCCCTGTTTAGTCCCAATATTTTTTATTCAGCCAATGTTCCACAAAGGTACAAAGCATAGGTGGAATTACTTCTCCATAAACTACACAAGGTGATGCAGTCTGAATCATATTTGCGAGGCACAAGTCAGCAAT